GGGGGGGGAAGCCTTGGCAGCCCAGGGCCTACACATGCCAGGCCCTATGATCTGCGCTCTCTCAGTACCTCACAGCTCACGACCATGCCGCAGTGCACGCATTATTTCCCATTCTACAAATAAGAAAAGCAAAGCCTAAAAATAAGGACTCACTTGCTCAAGGTCACTCAACTAGGAAGAGACCGGCTCAAATTTGAACACACTTCTGGCCAACAGCACATTAGAGCTCTCACCACTGTCAGCTGGAGGGGAGCCAGGCCAGGGCGCAGCACTGAGTTTGCACCTAGCAAATTTTAGAATTAGCTGGGAAAGAATGAGTATGTATGTCCCCCCAGGCTGGGGCGAAAGGTGACCGCTCCTCGTGCGGTCCTGTCCACGGTGCCCCGGGGCCCGCACGGACAGCCCCTGGGGGCTCCAGCAGAACTGAGAGTGGTCCCAGCGCCCAGGTTGGACTGGAACAGGTGGGTTCGCTGCTCGCGTTTCCCAAAGAAATGTCGCTCTTTAAGTACGAACCTTCCCCGCCTTTGCCATTGGGGAACCTGAGGTCCCTAGACCTGCCGAGCCTCGGGCGGGTCCCCACTCGCGACCAAAGCCCCGTCCATCCCGGAACAAATTTTGAGGGGTCGGATCCGCGTTCCCCACCGGGCGACCTAGCCCGGCCAGGCCCAGCACGCGTGGGCACCTGCGAGTCACGCCTCGGTCCTCCTGGTCGGAGGCAGGGAGCGTCTCCAAAGTGGCCGCGACGTCGCGGCCGAAGCCCGGGAGGGGGCGAATTCTCCCCACGCGGGTCGGCGTCCTCGGGAGCTCAGAGAACGCTACAGTGCTCCCCGCATCCCGCGCGCAGGGAGCGCGGAGCTTGCGCCCTGGGGAGCGCCCTTTCGTTGCTGCCGCGGCCGTGGAGTGTCCAAGAGGCTTCTGCGGATTGCGCAGGGTCGTTCCGGGGTTGCAACTCCATTGTAATTGAAAGAATTCATTTGGTTTGATTTTTGCTCAGATGAAAAAAAAAAAAAATTGGAAGAAAACGAAAACGGCCTCAGCAAAAGACAATTTCACAAGCAGAGTGCCCTACCCGCCCCGAGCAGCGGCGGGGAAGCGGCCCTGGCCAGGAGGAGCGGGGAGCGTCTGCTAATTGCAGCTTCGTTAGATTTCGGGTTTGGGAGGCTGTGGTTCGGGCGCTAATATCCGCCGCCCATTATCCCGGCTAATAAATTTGACCTATTGTTCGTTTGTTAAAATGATGTCACCTTGGAACAGTCCCTAAGCTCCTATTTCCATGAATTAGGCCTTTATTGAAAGCTGGGAGCCAATGAGAGGAAAGAGGCTTGTTGGTCGCAGCCAATGGCTGCGGCGGGAGAGGAATTAGCAGCGGAAACTCCAGGTTCGGTTCAAGAAAGATGACACAGAGCCTGTCGGGCCCGCGCACTCTTGGCAAAGTTTCAGTGCGACGAGAGGCACCGGGCGCTCCATGGCCGCGCCGTAACCGGGACCCAGCCGCCTCCCCGCCCAGCCCAGCCCAGCCCTTCCGCCCACCCAGGATGGAGGCGCCCGCCAGCGCTCAGACCCCTCACCCGCACGAGCCCATCAGCTTCGGCATCGACCAGATCCTCAACAGCCCGGACCAGGACAACACCCCCGCCCCGCGGGGCCCCGACGGCGCCAGCTACCTGGGAGGGCCCCCCGGGGGCCGTCCGGGCGCCACATACCCGTCTCTGCCCGCCTCCTTTGCCGGCCTCGGCGCGCCCTTCGAGGACGCGGGATCTTACAGTGTCAACCTGAGCCTAGCTCCCGCCGGCGTGATCCGGGTGCCGGCGCACAGGCCGCTGCCCGGGGCCGTACCGCCGCCTCTGCCCAGCGCGCTTCCCGCCATGCCCTCCGTGCCCGCGGTCTCCAGCCTGGGCGGCCTCAACTTCCCCTGGATGGAGAGCAGCCGCCGCTTTGTGAAAGACCGCTTCACAGGTGAGCTGAGCGGGCGAGCAGGCTCCAGGCCTCGGCCCTCGCAGGGCCAGAGGCGCCGCGCCCTACGCGCTCCACTCCGGAAACGATTCCAGAGGCCCACCGAGGCGGAGGGAGGCCTCAGCGCCCTGGGTCCCGGGCAGCCACAGAGGGGAGGGTCATCAGAGAGTTGAGGGAGGGGGGAGAAGGGGCGGAGGAGTCTCCCGACCGGCTGGGCGCCTCTGGGGACGCGCGGGAACGGCGAAATAGCGGAGCAGTCTGTCTCCCACGGGGCGCCGCGGGGTCCGCGTGGGGCCTGAACTGCGGCCGAGCCGGGCTAGGCTTCAGGGGTCCTCGTGTGTCTCCGCAGCGGCGGCCGCGCTCACGCCCTTCACCGTGACCCGGCGCATCGGCCACCCCTACCAGAACCGGACGCCGCCCAAGCGTAAGAAGCCGCGCACATCCTTTTCCCGGGTGCAGATCTGCGAGCTGGAAAAGCGCTTCCACCGCCAGAAGTACCTGGCCTCGGCCGAGAGGGCGGCGCTCGCCAAGTCCCTCAAAATGACGGACGCGCAGGTCAAGACCTGGTTCCAAAACCGAAGGACCAAGTGGCGGTGAGATAGGCCCGGCCCGGCCCAACTTGCACCTGCCCCGCACCTGCCCCTCCCCGCGCCGCCGCAGCCTGGCGG